GGGTGTGGGGGGTTTTTTGGGGGGGGGTGTGGGTGTGTGTGTGCTGTCTGTGGGTGTCTGTGGGTGTCTGCGGGTGTCTGCGGGTGTCTGTGGGTGTCTTCATGTTTTACTATTACCCAGTTTTGAAGTGATCTTACTCGTTCGTTGTATCGGAAAGTGTGAGAACAGTTTTTACACTTGTCAGCCGACATGTTAAATAGTATTTTTAGAATAAAGAAAAAGCACTAAGTTAAGCAAAAGTGTTTTGACTTTCTTTATCGTTCTTCTAACATCAACGTGTTCTGGACCCTTCTGAAAAAATGAATAATCTATATCACATGCGTTGACGAAACATATATTTCGTTCTTCGTTTAACTAATCATCGACACATAACCGAAGTGTCAGAAAAAATGAGAAAAGAAAGAAAACATGCGTTTTCTACTAGATATATTGTTGCGAGAAGTGAATTCAGTGATATATTTGCTAAAAGAAAGGGTTTTAATCCAAAAACGTGGCTAGAAAGTGAGAAATTTCCGAAAAACCTCAAAACCCCATACAATGGGTTTCAAGACTCGAAAGCCCACTTTCTACATCAAATTTTGCCTTGAATGGCACATCGTTGGAAAAAGCATGTCTTCATCTAGCTCCGGTAAAAAGATCTTTTTGGTCCAAGCTTTCTAGGTGCCCCTTCGAGGTCCAGAACCTTAAAAACCTCAAATCCTTCAGGTTTTCAGCGGTTTTTAGATAAAAATTTTGCCAAACTTTTTTAATTTTAGCATATTCGGATTCAGCATATCGAGTTATACATAGGAAAAGTCATGTGGCAAACAAAAGAGCACTTTTGTCGAAAATTTGGGGCAAAAACGCGAAAAACCCGGGTTTTGAGTCAAATTTTATTTCGATTGCCATTTGGACAGGCCGCATTTTTTCGAGCTGCAGTTGCGATATTCGTGATCAACATCAAATTCTGAGTCAGACAACGTATTTTTCAAAATTTTTGGACAAAAAAAATTTTCGCTTACCCCTGAGGGGGACCCTTGCCGTGATTTTTTGGGCAAAAAATATTTTTTCATATTTGAAAGTTCTAAAAGCGCTATCTTGTTCAGAATTTTATACTGATTGCAAATATGTATGACTTATAGCGAAATGTTTTAGGGCGAAAATGCCACTTAATGGCCCTCCTCCTTTAGTTTGATGTTATTAAGTGTGGTTTATCAGTTCATATTTTTGAGTGTGTTTCTGTTGATAAATAGATCAATTTTCGGTAAAGCATTTTAGTATTAAAAGCCATTCGTTTATACGTCGGATATATTCCACTCAGAACTTTAACATTAGAAGGTGCCTTTTTTTATGATTTTTGTAAATAGAGCTTATACAATTCAGACTCACTTTTTTATCACTATGGCAGATGCACCTTAGTGATTGGTGATTGTGATGTATGCAAAAAAGAAATTCCACATCATTTGCTATTCACAAACTATGGTTATTTCACAAGATTAAACAGGGAAAAGCACCCGCTGCTCTTCGATGTCTAATTCCTACAGGCGATTCTAAATATAATATAGTTAAGAGGTAATACTGCTAATAATAAATTGCCTGTGCAACATCGTGGTCTCGTTGTATACGAATATTCATTCATTCGACCAAAGTGCAAATCGTGGAATAAACTGAACTTTGCTTCATAATTCATTGTATGAGATTGAAGTCAAGGATAACTGACATAAAGAACAATAAATGTTATGCTGAAATCAAGTATCCAACACATCCCACAGCTGATCGAAAATATGAAATATACTTTGCGCGCATAAGAATTGGTTTTTCACAGGTGGATTCTGATCTCCTTAAGAGTTTATACCCGACGTCCGATTCTGCTCAATCGACTTTCAGCAGATGCGTTTTCGACAACATATGGAAAACAGGAATATTTATAGAAAATGCCAACCAACAGAAAATTTTTAAAATAATCGTCAGGTGACCCCACTCCAGGTGTCAGGATTAGGGGTGGCACTTTCTTGTTTCTTTCCCCAAAAAAGAAAAGTAAAAGCTGACTTTTCTTTCTTTTGGAAAAGGAAAGCTTTTACTTTCCTACTGTTCTTTCCAAAAAGAAAGAAAAGGAAAGTATGATATAGCTTTCTTTTGTATTTTCTTTATGAAGAAAACACACTGAAGCAAAACCAGACTCATGTTCATGATCAGCGTCGAAAACTGAATCTAGTGATGTGTTTTGCTAAAACTTTCCGAAGACATTTCTTTTTTCGTAAAATACATCACGTGACTCAGTTTTCGACGCTGATCATGAACATGAGTCTGGTTTTGCTTCAGTGTGCTTTCTTCATAAAGAAAATACAAAAGAAAGCTATATCATACTTTCCTTTTCTTTCTTTTTGGAAAGAACAGTAGGAAAGTAAAAGCTTTCATTTCCCAAAAGAAAGAAAAGTCAGTTTTTACTTTCTTTTTGTAGGGGAAAGAAACGAGAAGTGCCACCCCTAGTCAGGATATCGCTGCAGCCTAAGTTCTGACCGCCTTTCATGGAACAGCTTTGTCAGTCGCCTGCGGATGGAGCCCAAACTTTCGAAGTTACCGTCACTCTATTAATGCATGAGACCAAACCACACGAACTGGTTAGAAGCTGTGTATTTGGTATCGCGTGTCAGCGCCTGATCGAATCGCCCACCGTCGTCAAAGTCAGCAATGCCGGCATCGATGTTACCCTCATTATAGGGCAAGCCACATATCAAGAACTCGTTAACGAAAGCGTAGTCAGAATCATTAAAAATGAAGTAACAATATCGAAAGCATGTAGTAGTAATCAGCTTTTGCTCTCTTTTCAAAAATATTTTAAAATGTTTTTATTAACTTTATATTTAAATGTTTTCCTAAATAATAAACGTCACCCTCACCCCCACAAAACAATAGCCACTGATCGTATAAACAACTTTCTGTAATACTCTACAACCTTTTAAAATTCGAACATTACCTTTGTGTTCTGTTTTTGATATAAGCTTTATTCAGACGGAATATAAGCGGAAAAAGATTCCTTTATAGTATTCTAAACTAAGGCTAATTCCACCAGCGAACCCGGTATATAATTGTGGCTCCTGTAGCCTTCGGATCGAGCGAGAGGAGCTATACAAAAATATAACTGTTATTCTTCTCTTCTTGTCATAAAAAAGAGGCGGTGAAATGATGTAACTTATAAAAGAAGAAAAGAAAAAATGCTTTTGTCCGACTGTCTTTTTGACAGAAATTAGAACTTCAATGGTATAGCAAAAGAAAAAAAGAAAAGAAGCAACAGGATTTGTGCCATTACATTTTCATTATCAATAGTGACTTTATTATTAGATTATTATCATTATCGTGTTTGGTGATATACTATCATGTCATAAAATTCCATTTTACAGACGTTATTTAAAAAAAAGTCTACATTTTACTCCATATTATTTAATGGGTGAATATCGCAATGAAATCCAGTTATGGAATGAACCATGTGAATTACAACAACTTTGCGTTGATTGAACATTGGCACACATTATGATATTTCATTTTAATACACGCACGCCTACACCATGTTCGTCTGATGTTTCAAAGAGAGATTCATTAAGTACCACATACATTGGTTCCATCATCTAAATGCTTCAGGAGCTGTCAATATTTTGCTTATACAGATTTTTGTCTAAGCACAACCAGGCCGATTGCTTTTCCGGGACAGTGATGTCAACAACCTTTATCGTATACATCTAAACTGGATCACAATTATCGCTGATTCGTAGCGCCAGTATTAAGCTGTATTGTGATTGGTTGAAGAAATAGTTCAATAAAAGATTAAAAATGAAGACAAAGAAAGGAGAAAGATACAACGCAGCCACATCAACATTAGACATCCTGAGTTTTCACTTCATTTATGAGGTGAATGTGAAAAGTAAAATCTTATCGATAGAACATCTTTGCTGTATTTTTGCAAGAATAACTGGTTCTGAAGTGTGCCTTAGAAGAGATCATTGTTTCAGTGCTGAGTGTCGTCATTGGTACTAACAAATTTCATCTGCATTCTGTTTGGCACGCTAAGGGAAACAGTAGCATACCAATCTAGCACAATGAGAAAAATTGCACTTTGCTTTGGGTTTGAGTTTTTTAACTAAGGACTTACTTCTAACCGTGTATGCGAACCATCGAACTTTGCTTTAAAGGAATACGAAGATAGGATGAAGAGTAAACAAAGTGAGGAGTACAATAATCACTATTAGGCAGTTAATGGACAGCTAATTCCATCAGAATTCCTAATCGAAGTAAGCTGTTGACTATTCAACTTGAGCGTTGTTTTCACTTAGCTCCAAATAGTAACTCACAGTTGGGATGGAGCTCTGAATGTATTTGATTGAATGAAACACTCATTTTAAGGACATTGATCAATGAAATTTCTTTTGTAAAATGTGAGTTCTCTCGTTAGAATTGGTCGTTCCAGAGTGCTGTTATTTGACGCCAAAACGAAAATAACGTAATTTAACTGATCACAAAAAACTAGCAGTGTGATGTAACGTAAGCAAAAAAAAGCACTAAAATGCTCTCTAAGAGAGAGGAAAAGAGGTTACGCTATGAAATGGTCCTTTTCTTCTGCACTCTTAACTTTCCACCCCTCCTTATCAAGAATCCTGCCTAATTTTAGCAGAACGTTAATCTTATATAGATTAAACCAGGATGAAAATTTAATTTTGAAAACTCGGCCTTTTCCAGAATTATCTTAAAACTAGTGGTCAAAAAGTAGCTTTTCGTAAATCCAAGGTTTTTCCGCTATTTTAAAAAAAATATTGCCAAACTTTTTTTGCTAAGACATAACAAGTCGATTTTTCTTTCTGGTTTTGAGGAAAACAAAAAGTTTGCAAAACGCTGGCAACGTTTTACGTTACGAACGATAGGATACAATGATAGAAATAGCCATGCTTTCTTTATCTGTTTCAGATAAACTATGTCATTTAAAAATATTTGCAGTCTTTGTAATGACGACGATAAATGTATCAGTTTTGTGGAAGATGAACAACATAATTTTTGCTTATGTGGACATAAGAAACATAAGCATTACTTTGGTATGTAACAATGAACTTTTACGTGATATGAAAATTTCTGTAAATAAAAAACGTTTTTCGGTAGGAATTCCTTTCACTTTATTTCTAAGCACTGACAAAATGAAACAACGAACACGAAAAGCAGAGAAAAAAACAATGTAATATACATTTACCATTTTATTTGTACTGCTCTTTTTGTCAATTTGCTGAGAGTAAAGTTTTTCTTTACTTGTTTGTTTAGTTAAAAATACTTTCTGTAACATCCACTGTTTTACTTTTCGTCGCGTGCAGCCCAAGCTATACGTAGTTTTCTCATCTCATACTACTTCCGTGTGAACTTGATTTTCGAATGACAGAAAGACACTTCAATGTGTAAACAGGTCTGCAGAACTGCTTTTTTTCCAATGCTAAAGTAAGTTTTTCGATTTCTTCCTGACTTTCTTATGAGTCTATTTTCTCGTAAAATTTGAAAAAGAATCGTTTCTTTTCAGAAAGTTCGAGGTTTTTGTCAACAAATCTATGATGAAACCGTTTTGCAACCGTTGCAAGGCTTTTTTCGAAGGAACATCATAGTAAGGGAAGAAAATGCAAAAAAAAACAGTCCTGCAAGATGGTGCATCATACTTTGTTAATCTTTTTGCATGTGATGTCGTTCAATTCATTCTTTCGAAATGTTTGACGCAGCCTGCTGATTTTCATACCTTTGTACTGATGTTTTAGCCTTATTTTTTGTGTCATTTTAATCGTTTTGTAGTTTTCTCAATACATATAGTAGCTACTTGTTGCTAATCCCGTTCGACTACGTTAAGAGACAAAGTCAATTTTTTCTTTCAAAGAGGACACTTGTAGTTGGTGATTTCACTGATCTCCTTTTCAAAAAGGTCTATAGAACAGAACATCAGTGTAGAATAAAAAAGAACGATATGATGAGTGTTCGTAGATATATACACAGTAGTAAGTTTTCATTTGAAGTTGACAAAAAAACAAAAGTTAAGATTGTCTATAATGTTTTGAGAAATATGAACAAGTTCAAACACATCGTTAATAACAATAGAGATTAATAGATATTGATATTGATTCAACACTTGACGAATAAGTATAAAAATTCTAACATAGTCATTCACAAGGACAAGTATTATTAGAATATTTGAAATATCCTGTAAGATTAAGAGAAAGTCCGTGTAAAAACCGACCTTTTGGTCGTATAGCTGGCACCTGAGGTATCTCCAATTTTAAATCTGAAGTGCTCGTTAGAAAGATCATGTTAAATAATGGGTTGTTTCCACTTATGTTTTTTTCTGAATCTGCTCCCCTAACGTGGTAGCAGAGGGGGCAGCTTTTCTCGCTTGACAGTTATACTCTCAAAAAATGGCCTTTCTGACACTCAAAAGTATTTGTGAAATATCTTCGTAAGTAGCCCCAATTTTTTTTGTTTATAGACCATTCGACAGAGGAAGGTCAGCACTACATACCTGTACGAGTGTATCAGATCGTGCCGCCACAGCTTTGGTGATGGAGGCATTTTTTCTAAAGAAGCAGTCTGTTAAAAGACTAATACGAATTGTTATATTTTCACCATTGACTGCTTTGGACATCGAGTTCCCGAAATTTTATTTCATCAGCTTGTAGAACAGAAAATTATCTATCGAATGAGATAGAATACTTTGAAAAAAAAGTGCTCCAGGACGCTGAGAATGTGGGCACAGAGATAGAAAATGGTGGGGAATCCGATGGAGTCACTTTCAGAATCTCGCCTTGACTAGGGGATAAAAGCGTTATTTGTCATTTATATTTTATTTTTTTCATGTTTCTCTATTTTATTTTCACTCAGCAAGCTATTTTTCCTATCCTATTTATTGTTTGTTGAGTTCATTTACGACCATATGGTTACAACTAACGAGTTAATGGTGTGTTTTTATATATTCTTATTACCATCGTCAAACATATGATTATCAATTCAACAGCTAAAAGAAAAACAGAATTTTTATTCGTTTTTCTTCTTTCTTCTGATAATAATCATTATTCTTACATCTTTTCTTTATTTATGATGATTGGTGAGGGTACCAAGAATGCATATGCTCAGTATCATTGAATCGAACGCTTAAATAATCTTTATTATAAAAGCGCAAGGACATATCATTATAATAGAACAATGAACGACGAATATATTAGATGACGCGTTGATGTTTAGATAACAACATTCTCGCCTCAGAGAATTCTGTTCATACTAGCGAATAAAAAAATCTCTTCTTTTATGACCATGAATAAAAAAATAGTTGTCAAATATTCTTTTCACCAAAAAAAAAACAAAGAACAACAACCGACAATTTAACTGTTCATAATATTTTATTTAGACTTTTTTTCTTCCATCACTTCTTCATTATGCTTAAAAAAAATAAGAATAAAACTTTTATAAAGAAGATTGAATTGTTTTTTTTTAACACAAAAAATTTATGCCTGTAAAAGATTTGTCTAAAATGATTTCAATATAAAAAATACATATAAAAAATACATCCGTCCTAAACTTTTATCTAAAAAATCAATAATTCTTTATTTAGAAGGTTTTATTCGTATGTTACTCTAGTGAATAAAAATCATTTTCTCAAATCGAGGAAAATTCATCTACATCTTACTTGAACTTTTAAAGAAATTTTATTATCATGACATAGAGTAGTCATTTGTATATTAACGTGAATAAATACATTTCTCATTAAACTATATTTCTGTTCTTCAATTCTAACATCTGACAGAAGGACTAGTATCATAAATAAGTTGTAAATTCTCAAACGTACCTTTTATCCGACTGGTATGGAAAAAAATTGGTGTTAACTAAACCGTGAATGTGTTACGCAGAAATCGTACAAGAATATTTTTTTCTTTTTTAAGCTCTTTATTCTCTCCATTGTTCAATAGAGAAAAGAAAAAAAAAAAATTCTGACGCCATGAATTCTGAGATGATTGACACATCCTAAGAGACTTTAGTTTAATGAATAAAACAAAAAGCCTCACCCTCAAAGCCAGCGGTCGTTTTTTGGCACATATTCATTTTTATTCTCATTCGAAAATTATAGACATGGCAATGAAAAACAGCGAAAAAACTAAATGAACCGGTACAAGGATAGTTGTTTGATTGATACGATGCTGTGCGGCGTAATGTAGATCCTACATTCTTTTACTGATCTGACATCATTTTCAGTGAAAAACTTCTCTCGCCGTGACATACGTCATTTGATGTCAATAACTGTCTTGAGACTGCATGTAGAATCTCATTGAATAATTCTATTAGCTCTCTAATATTGATTTCTTGTTTACAAATGAAAAATAAAATACTTTGTTCTATTTCTTAATCGTCGTTTATTAGTTTATATATTGAGGATCTAACAAATAAAAAAATTGTCTGAATTTGTTTGAGCTCAATAAATATCAGTTATTAATTTTGTAAGACGGATTGTTTAC